TTGTTCTCTCACTACTCCTCAAACCTCATAGACCTTGTCCTGTAATTAAAATGTGAACTGGACAGAAGAAAGTCAGCGGGCTGTTGTTAAATTTCCACATAACTGAACATCTGTTGTCTGTTTACCGATGAATATTATAACATTAGGGTAACGTGATAAAACACAGTTTTCTTTACGATAATCGTAGTGATAACGTAAGTGATGCATTAAGAAAAATTGTATAATTTGTTGAAGTTTAATATTTAAAAAAAAAAACGTTAATCAGTCAGTTTCATTTTATCAATATTTAAGATTTATGTTCTGTGTAAAATCTGTGGCCTGACTTATTCTTTCTTGCCCAACAACCAAACCCATTGGGAAACACATCTGCATACAAGATCTGTATACCTCCTGTTATTGCAGGCCCAGACTTCTATTTTTTGCTGAAAGTCTTTGAAATAATACCACACTACCGAGTGGTTAAAAAATTAAAACAATATTACATGCAGTCACAAATGAATTGCTACAGCAGAAATCTTATCAAACAAACTGCATGAGAGATACATTATTGCTTGGCCTGTCAGCATCTATAAGAGACATTTCAGTGATCAATGCTCTGGTTAATTTTACTGCTTTTGCATCTATACATGAGTGATTGAAGGGAAGCCAGAATTTTGAATTAGGTCAAACTCTCCACCTTTTCACACAGAATGAGTTAACAGTTATTTTAGTCTGTAAATATTCCTGAGATTTCAAACTTTTACAAGATAATAAAAGATTGCTTAATTTTCTGAAATTGAATAAATGAATGCAGCATAACTCAGTGAGAAGTGGTAAATTGAATGTTGAGAGATGAATTGTAATAGTATTATATATATATAACCAGTCACTCGCTTACTGTGTTTCTGAAAAATATACAAGTTATTATTATATATAAAATAGAGTTATTTCTTTTAAAGGTATGTTTTATTTCTGTTAATAGATGTCGCTTCTTTATTGTTTTAACTTTATTCTGTTTGTTTGAAATTGTGAGGACGAAATGTTTTTAATAAGAAAATATATATATGCAATGTTAGTCATAGACTAGTAATTAAAAGTCTTAGTTTTATTTTTCTATTCTGTGATATTGTTACACAACTTATTGTGAAAGTTCTTGAGGAGATGTCCTTATTCTGCTGGTAAGTTTTAAAATACTGTACCGTTTAACTTGAAAAGCAAATGTATCAAAAAACAAAACAAAACGAGATGAGATAGATGACTTATGGCATAACGTGACAACACACTAAACCTGATAACAGGGTGATCTTGAGACAAAGCAAAATACATATATAACCTTGACCCAATTCCCAACCACGCCCATTCGGCTAAACCATATCTAAAACAGTCACCCAAACTGAGATATAACGGGTTTCATTGTTCTCTCACTACTCCCCAAACCTCATCCTGTAATTAAAATGTGAGCTGGACAGAAGAAAGTCAGCGGGCTGTTGTTAAATTTCCACATAACTGAATATCTGTTGTCTGTTTACCGATGAATATTATAAGATTAGGGTAACGTGATAAAACAGTTTTCTTTACGATAATCGTAGTGATAACGTAAGTGATGCATTAAGAAAAATTATATAATTTGTTGAAGTTTAATATTTAAAAAAAAAACGTTAATCAGTCAGTTTCATTTTATCAATATTTAAGAAAACGATTATTCTCCAGATTTTTTTTATTAAACACGATTATCTTCATCCGAGTTTCCTATTAACATGATTTTTCATCCGAGTTTCCTACTAAACCTGATTTTTTTCATTCAAGTTTCTTACATATGCTAAAAGTTTTAACCGACATGTGGTAAAAACTATTGTCAAATACAAATCTTAATCTCATCAAGAACGGTTTAAAAAGGTCCAAAT